ACCTCCAGAACAGGAAGGCTTACAGCCACAGTCTCCTTTTGCAGAGCGAAGAACCTTGTTTAACGTCTTTTCTTTATTTGTGATGTTATCCGAACCACACATCACAGAAACCCCCCCCCCAAAAGGTAAACTCACAATGGTGCAGGATAAAGTTATGCAGTTTCTTAGAGTTAGTGGTAAATTCTCTAAGTTTCCGCAAAAAGAAGAGCCGCTGACGAGCTTAAATTCACGGTGCACAACGGAGCTCTTGCAGCGACGCCCTCGGCGACGGCGCCATCTTGGAGTTTCTCACAGTACGCAAGACAAACCGCTAAAGCTAGAGGGACGATATGCCTCTGTCAGAGCGTCATTAGATGAAGGCGGATAGGACTGTTGTGGACATTGGCTCACAGGTGTCTATTATCGGAGTGGATGGGTCAAAAATACTATATTGGACTATTACAATGTGTGGCTGTACAACACTAGGCTGACTGCATAGGGTTGAAAGTGTGTGCCGTTGGACCCAAGGAGGAAGAGGGCAGCACCGCATCAACAGCTCAGGGTACATGGGAGGGGCCACAAGGGGTAGCTATGGGATCCACCTGGGACCTGAAGCCATCTCTTCCAGAACAGCAGCAAAGTCAAGCAGATGTGAGAGAGGAGAGCCCACCGTGTTTGCCAAGGACAGATTGGGACACTGGATGTATTAAAGAACTTCAAATGAACTTCAGTTAAAACACAACGTCCCAGTCCAAAGGTTCTTATAACTCTATCGAACGTCATCTCTACCCAGAAAGTAAAGTCTCACATTCAAGAATCTGCTGAAGTAGAGGATGGATTCAAAAGTCATGTAATACACTATCGTCACCTAGTGTTGTGTCCAAAAAAAAAGATGGAACCCTCGTCTATGTGTGGATTACAGACTTTGGAACCAAATACTTTGACTGATCGCCACCCCATCCCCCGGATCCAGGAAATTTGGAAAATATCGGGGGCAAAATCACGGGGGCAAACTCATGGTTCACTGTACTGGATCAAGGCAAGGCATAACCATCAGGGATTTGTGTGTGAGCAGAGCGCCCATTAGGAAATCCGCAAGACGGACGGGATCAGTCCCAGCCTCTGAGGGTCCTACCTACATTACAACCTGAGCCTCAGCCTGGAGAAGGTACCTGTCCTGTGGACGCCTCTTGTGTGATCCCGGTTCCTAAAACCAGAGACAAACAAGGAACCGGATTTTCACTACCTGAACAGTCGCACTGTCCTCCCACCTGATGAAGGACATGAAGCGGCTCTCTCCTCACTTCTCCGGCTCTGTGGTCAAGCCCCACCCTGGGACCCGCAGCAGTCGCCATACAGGCCCAATATCGGAGTAGAGGAGCCGTCATCTACTTCCTGCAGCGACGCTCTCCCACCTGGAGCCCACCGGGAGCGCTTGTGAGGGTAGTGTTCTTTCGACTTCTCCAGTGACTTTCAACACCATTCAGGCGGTACTTGACTGGGGGGAAGAGGAGGTCGCAGGAGTGGACAGTAGCCTCACTGCATGGACCTATAGACTACCCTCAGGACCGACCACAGTACGTGCGGCGAGGGTCTGGGTGGTAGTCCTGGCAGTTCTGGGCCCCCATCAGGGCACTGTGCCTCTCACCGTTTCTCTTTCACCATCTACACTTCAGGACTTCAATACGACCAACGACACATGCTGATCACTGCAGAAGTTCTCCGCCATCGTGGGCTGTGTGTTTGAGGGGAACCAACTGGAATATCGTCAGTTATCACAGACTGTCGCTGGTGTGTGCGCACCACTTGTCGCTTGAACACCAGTAAGACCAAGGAGATGATCATCGACTTCAGGAGAAAACCACATTCCCACAAGCTGCTTGAACATCCAGGGGGAGGACATTGAGCTGGTGGACGCTTAAATTACCTGGTGTTTCACCCAGGGAGGCGGGGTCCGAGCTCAAAAAGTGGCTAAAATGATGTGCGCCGACATGCTGCAATACCACCCGGGCCGGTGGGGTGGACCGGAATAGAATTAGCCAATTGCTAACATAGCACTTGTGGCCATGTTGGATAGCTCCAGTAACAATATTTTTGGCCCATTGATTGTAAGGCGGAGATAGCCATGACTACTAGGGTAGGGCGATATTTTTTTTGTTTACCGGGATAAGTAAATTAAATGAATAAGAAAATGCTTATACCGTGAAAACGTCATTTAACATGAAAACAGCGAGCGGAAGCACGTTTGTGTGCGGCGCACTTTTAATGACGCATCTGCGCGGCACGTGTAGCGAGCGGCCGTCGCAGGGACAACAACAACAGAGAGCAAAACATGGCTGTCTCTCTCTCTGCTCTCTCTCTCTGGTGTCTCTCTGCTCTCTCTCTCTGGCCTCTCTCTGGCCTCTCTCATCTCTCTGTTCTCTCTCTCTGCTCTCTCTCTCTGTGTTCTCTCTCTCTGCTCTCTCTCTCTGGTGTCTCTCTGCTCTCTCTCTACTCTCTCTCTCTGCTCTCTCTCTCTGGCCTCTCTCTGGTCCTGGTCTCTCCAGTGTTGACATGGCTGTAATCCGCAGCCTGGAGAAAGGGCTCAGTGCCGTAGTTCCAGCCGTCTCCCTGTGAGGTTAATTGTGTATAAAATGGCGGTGGTTGTTACTGCGGCTCTACACGCTCCAGACTGTGGCCTTATCTCTGTCCTCCTGAGGTTACACCAGCAACGCTAAACCCTCCATAGTTGCTCTACATGGAAATCGCTTGTGCCAGCTCCGCTCCAGCCACTTTATTATAATGTGGAGTAGAGTGGACGGCTTTAATACCGCTTTAATCCAGTTTGAAGCCAAAGTCTGGGTAGAAGAGAAGAAACTATAGGGCTACAAGCTAATGCTGCGTCATGGGAGGTCCCTTTCACAAAGCTCTGACGAAGTTTAGACGTTAGTACGGGAAGGATTTGTTGACGTTTTGTAAATAAAGAGGATTGAATTGGGACGTAGGAATTATTTTGATAAGCTATGAATATAGAATTTGTCTGAAGCACGGATTTGCAAATGTGTCTGAATGAAGAGAAGTTTGCTAGAGGATATTCTAATGGAGTTTCAGATAAAACTCTCTATGGCCTCGCTCTGGTCTCTCTCTGGTCTCTCTCTCTCTCTCTCTGGCCTTTCTCTGGTCTCTCTCTGGTCTCTCTCTCTCTCTGGTCTCTCTTTGGTCTCTGGTCTCTCTCTGGTCTCTCTACGGCCTCTCTCTAATCTCTCTATGGTCTCTCTCTGGTCTCTTTCTGGTCTCTCCTTCTCTCATATTGTATCATGTTTTCAGTCCGGTTTGCCATATTTCTGGCGACCCTCTCTCTCTCTCTCTCTCTGGTCTTTCTCACTGGTCTTTCTCACTGGTCTCTCTCTGGTCTCTCTCTCTGGTCTCTCTCTGGTCTCTCTTTTGTCTCTCTCTGGTCTCTCTCCGGTCTCTCTCTGGTCTCTCACTGGTCTCTCTCTGGTCTCTCTCTTGTCTCTCTCTGGTCTCTCTCTGGTCTCTCTCTCTGGTCTCTCTTTTGTCTCTCTCTGGTCTCTCTCTGGTCTCTCTCTGGTCTCTCACTGGTCTCTCTCTGGTCTCTCTCTTGTCTCTCTCTGGTCTTTCTCACTGGTCTTTCTCACTGGTCTCTCTCTGGTCTCTCTCTCTGGTCTCTCTCTGGTCTCTCTTTTGTCTCTCTCTGGTCTCTCTCCGGTCTCTCTCTGGTCTCTCACTGGTCTCTCTCTGGTCTCTCTCTTGTCTCTCTCTGGTCTCTCTCTGGTCTCTCTCTTGTCTCTCTCTGGTCTCTCTCTGGTCTCTCTCTCTGGTCTCTCTTTTGTCTCTCACTGGTCTCTCTCTGGTCTCTCTCTCTGGTCTCTCTTTTGTCTCTCTCTGGTCTCTCTCTGGTCTCTCTCTGGTCTCTCACTGGTCTCTCTCTGGTCTCTCTCTTGTCTCTCTCTTGTCTCTCTCTGGTCTCTCTCCGGTCTCTCTCTGGTCTCTCACTGGTCTCTCTCTGGTCTCTCTCTTGTCTCTCTCTGGTCTCTCTCTGGTCTCTCTCTTGTCTCTCTCTGGTCTCTCTCTGGTCTCTCTCTCTGGTCTCTCTTTTGTCTCTCACTGGTCTCTCTCTGGTCTCTCTCTCTGGTCTCTCTTTTGTCTCTCTCTGGTCTCTCTCTGGTCTCTCTCTGGTCTCTCACTGGTCTCTCTCTGGTCTCTCTCTTGTCTCTCTCTTGTCTCTCTCTGGTCTCTCTCTGGTCTCTCTCTGGTCTCTCACTGGTCTCTCTCTGGTCTCTCTCTTGTCTCTCTCTTGTCTCTCTCTGGTCTCTCTGGTCTCTCTCTGGTCTCTCACTGGTCTCTCTCTGGTCTCTCTCTTGTCTCTCTCTGGTCTCTCTCTGCTCTCTCTTGTCTCTCTCATATTGTATCATGTTTTCAGTCCGGTTTGACATATTTCTGGCGACCCTCTCTCTCTCTCTCTGGCGTCGCACTTGAGATGGTCGTTCAGATTCACTTCCTTGTTTGTGGTGAAACTATATATGACATCTTATCTTTGTCGCCATTAGTCCTTCCTGACGCAAACTTAACCGCTCATTTACAAAGTATATCTAGTCTAGACAAGTTCAAAAGTGGCTCGAAAAACAACCCAATATGTTGCTGCTTTTTTTTGGAGATTTCTATCAAATTTTTGCCCATTTCCTGTCGGGGAAGTAATGTTTGAATGTGCCCCCCGCTGCTGCCCTGGGAGCCAGAACCAGACATGGAAGTGAGAGACCCCCCATCACCCACTGCTGGCTCTGCACGGGCCATAAGCACAGCATAAGAGTGATTAGTGGGAGACCCTTAGGGGGAGGAGAGAGGGGGAGGGAGGGAAGGACGACGGCGAGACAGACGGATGGAGAAGCCGAGATAACAGAATTCATAAAGGACAATTCATGGAGACAGTGAAGGGAGAGGGAGAGAGAGAGGGAGGGGAGAGAGAGGGGGGACAGTGAGGGGAGAGGGAGAGAGAGAGGGAGGGGAGAGAGAGGGGGGACAGTGAGGGGAGAGGGAGAGAGAGAGGGAGGGGAGAGAGAGGGGGGACAGTGAGGGGAGAGGGAGAGAGAGAGGGAGGGGAGAGAGAGGGGGGACAGTGAAGGGAGAGGGAGAGAGACAGGGAGGGGAGAGAGAGGGGAGACGGTGAAGGGAGAGGGAGAGAGAGGGGAGACGGTGAAGGGAGAGGGAGAGAGAGGGGAGACGGTGAAGGGAGAGGGAGAGAGAGGGGAGACGGTGAAGGGAGAGGGAGAGAGACAGGGAGGGGGGAGAGAGAGGGGGAGACAGTGAAGGGAGAGGGAGTGAGACAGGGAGGGGGGAGAGAGAGGGGAGACAGTGAGGGGAGGGAGGAGGGGGGTCAAATTCATGTGTCTGTCAAAAAGGCGATAAGTGGTTGAAAGAAAGATATGGAGAAAGCAAAGTAAATAGAAGATTCAAACGACTGAACGCGGAGAAAGCGGCGAGAACGTGACGAGAACACGGCGAGAACACGGCGAGAACGTGACGAGAACACGGCGAGAACACGGCGAGAACGTGACGAGAACACGGCGAGAACACGGCGAGAACGTGACGAGAACACGGCGAGAACACGGCGAGAACGTGACGAGAACACGGCGAGAACACGGCGAGAACGTGACAAGAACACGGCGAGAACACGGCGAGAACACGGCGAGAACACGGCGAGAACGTGACGAGAACACGGCGAGAAGTGTTCCATACGTTACGGAATGTAACGTATGGAATGGACACGGTTAGAGTCTGTCACTTAGACATTCATAAACATTGTTACAGAGCAGAGACTTTACAGCAGAAAGATGTTGGCAGAACGCTAAAGCTAATGCTAAAGCTAATGCTAAAGCTAATGCTAAAGCTAATGCTAAAGTGTCATTAGCATCAGTCTAACATAAGGATTTACAGAAGCAACTACACAAAGGTTAAGATGCTGAATCCCTGTAGCACAGTGGACTCCAACCTGTGGCTCGGGAGCTTCCAGTAGCTCCCCAGCCCCTTCCATGTAGCTCGCCAAAGGATTTAGACATGTCAAACTGGGCGGCACGGTGGCTGAGTGGATAGCACTCTCGCCTCTCAGCAAGAAGGTCCTGGGTTCAAATCCCAGTCGGACCAGGGCCTTTCTGAGTGGAGTTTGCATGTTCTCCCCGTTTCTGTGTAGGTTTCCTCCGGGTACTCCGGTTTCCCCTACCATTAAAAATATGTACAATAGTTCTAGCATGCGCCTCCTGCACTGACCCCGCTCCCATCTCTGTGTGGAGTGAGAGACAAATGCCCAAAAATAACAATTGTAAAACCGCTTTGAGACTCAGATCTGTGAAAGGCGGTATATAAATAAAGATTACTTACTATAATTGACAATTCATCTATCTATTTTCTTCCCCTTAATCCATTTCTGGGTCGGAGGTGGCAGTCAGAGCACCAGCCCCTCACTGCTCCTCCTTGATCTTTCAGTGGGGGCTTCAGGCAAAGTGGGGTTAAGTGACTTGCCCATGGACACAACGACAGCAGACATCAGTGGGAGTCGTTAAGTAGGTCTCATGGTGGGCTTGAACCCATGACCTTCAGGCTCAAAGGCCAATGCTCCACCAACTGAGCCACTGTTGCTCCCAGCCCTGATAATTTGTAAACTATTTTATACTTTACACATCTAATTTGTAATATTGTTTATGTGTGATTGATTTCCAAAAGAGTTCATCTGCAGATGATCTGTGTATGTGTGTGTGTCTGTGTGTGTGTCTGACCCTCTGTGTGTGTGTCTGTGTGTGTGTCTGTCTGTGTGTGTGTCTCGCTGTGTGTGTGTCTGACCCTCTGTGTGTGTGTCTGTGTGTGTGTCTGTCTGTGTGTGTGTCTCGCTGTGTGTGTGTCTGACCCTCTGTGTGTGTGTAAGTGTGTGTGTGTGTCTGACCCTCTGTGTGTGTGTAAGTGTGTGTGTGTGTCTGACCCTCTGTGTGTGTGTAAGTGTGTGTGTGTGTCTGACCCTCTGTGTGTGTGTCTGTGTGTGTGTCTGTCTGTGTGTGTGTCTCGCTGTGTGTGTGTCTGACCCTCTGTGTGTGTGTAAGTGTGTGTGTGTGTCTGACCCTCTGTGTGTGTGTAAGTGTGTGTGTGTGTCTGACCCTCTGTGTGTGTGTAAGTGTGTGTGTGTGTCTGACCCTCTGTGTGTGTGTAAGTGTGTGTGTGTGTCTGACCCTCTGTGTGTGTGTAAGTGTGTGTGTGTGTGTCTGACCCTCTGTGTGTGTGTCTGTGTGTGTGTCTGTCTGTGTGTGTGTCTCGCTGTGTGTGTGTCTGACCCTCTGTGTGTGTGTAAGTGTGTGTGTGTGTCTGACCCTCTGTGTGTGTGTAAGTGTGTGTGTGTGTCTGACCCTCTGTGTGTGTGGTAAGTGTGTGTGTGTGTCTGACCCTCTGTGTGTGTGTCTGTCTGTGTCTGTGTGTGTGTCTCACCCTTTGTGTGTGTGTGTCTGTCTGTGTGTGTGTCTCGCTGTGTGTGTGTGTCTGACCCTCTGTGTGTGTGTAAGTGTGTGTGTGTGTCTGACCCTCTGTGTGTGTGTCTGTCTGTGTCTGTGTGTGTGTCTCACCCTTTGTGTGTGTGTGTCTGTCTGTGTCTGTGTCTGTGTGTGTGTGTCTGACCCTCTGTGTGTGTGTCTCTGTGTGTATGGGTGTCTCTCTGTGTGTGTGTCTGACCCTCTGTGTGTGTGTTTCTGTGTGTATGGGTGTCTCTCTGTGTGTGTGTCTGACCCTCTGTGTGTGTGTCTCTGTGTGTATGGGTGTCTCTCTGTGTGTGTGTCTGACCCTCTGTGTGTGTGTCTCTGTGTGTATGTGTGTCTCTCTGTGTGTGTGTCTGACCCTCTGTGTGTGTGTCTCTGTGTGTATGTGTGTCTCTCTGTGTGTGTGTCTGTGTGTGTGTGTCTCTGTGTGTGTGTCTGCCCCTCTGTGTGTGTGTGTCTCTGTGTGTATGGTGGTCTCTCTGTGTGTGTGTCTGTGTGTGTGTGTTGTGCGCTGGCAGACTGGGCACAGAGACGCCGTCGCCTGTCGCTGCCTCCGACTTTGATTTTGATCTGTGTCCAGAGAAACGCCGCTCCCAAATAACAATTCACTTCAGACTCCTGCTTTTCCTCTGTTTGAATTCAGAACGCAAGAACTTAGACTCTAATTTAGACATAGTCCTGCTCTAAAGAAGCTAGTATAAAATCTCTAACTTTAGCATAATAAAGAAGCTAGTATAAAATCTCTAACTTTAGCATAATAAAGAAGCTAGTATAAAATCTCTAACTTTAGCATAATAAAGAAGCTAGTATAAAATCTCTAACTTTAGCATAATAAAGAAGCTAGTATAAAATCGTTATCTTTAGCAGAACAAAGGAGCTAGTATAAAATCGTTAGCTTTAGCAGAACAAAGGAGCTAGTATAAAATCGTTAGCTTTAGCAGAACAAAGGAGCTAGTATAAAAATGGCTAGCTTTAGCATAATAATCAGAATCAGAATCATTTTTATTGCCACGTAAGTAGGTCACAGAGTTGGAAATTGCTTTGGCTCAGTGCAACAGTCTGAGAGAGAGGTAAAGGTAGAGAGGCATAATAACAAATAAAGAATAAAAAATAGAGTTACAGTTACTATTTACAATATACAAGTGCACATGGTGCACACCATGTAAGGTGACAGCAGTACAGTGAAGTAAAGTGACGTATGATGGGCAGTAAAGTGACTTTATAAAGGGCGGGGGGACAGGTTAAGAAGTGTTCAAGAGTCCAACAGCAGAGGGGAAGAAACTGTTCTTGTGGCGGGAGGTTCTAGTCCTGATGGACCGCAGCCTCCTGCCTGAGGGGAGTGGTTGGAATAGTCCATGTGCAGGTGAGAGGGGAGTGGTTGGAATAGTCCATGTGCAGGTGAGAGGGGAGTGGTTGGAATAGTCCATGTGCAGGTGAGAGGGGAGTGGTTGGAATAGTCCATGTGCAGGGTGAGAGGGGAGTGGTTGGAATAGTCCATGTGCAGGTGAGAGGGGAGTGGTTGGAATAGTCCATGTGCAGGTGAGAGGGGAGTGGTTGGAATAGTCCATGTGCAGGTGAGAGGGGAGTGGTTGGAATAGTCCATGTGCAGGGTGAGAGGGGAGTGGTTGGAATAGTCCATGTGCAGGTGAGAGGGGAGTGGTTGGAATAGTCCATGTGCAGGTGAGAGGGGAGTGGTTGGAATAGTCCATGTGCAGGTGAGAGGGGTCGGCTGTGATACGACCAGCCCGGCCTCGAGCTCGGGCGACGTACAGGTCCTGCAGCGATGGAAGGCTGCGGCCGATCACTTCCTCTGCAGAGCGCACAATGCACTGTAGTCTCTGTTTGTCCCTGACTGTGGCTCCAGCGAACCACACGGTGATGGAGGAGGTGATGGAGGAGGTGATGGAGGAGGTGATGGAGGAGGTGATAGGGGAGGTGATGGAGGAGGTGATGGAGGAGGTGATGGAGGAGGTGATGGAGGAGGTGATGGAGGAGGTGATAGGGGAGGTGATGGAGGAGGTGATGGAGGAGGTGATAGGGGAGGTGATGGAGGAGGTGATGGAGGAGGTGATGGAGGAGGTAATGGAGGAGGTGATGGAGGAGGTGATGGAGGAGGTGATGGAGGAGGTGATGGAGGAGGTGATGGAGGAGGTAATGGAGGAGGTGAGGATGTGCAGCAGCTTGGCTTTAATAAAGGAGCTAGTATAAATAGTTAACTATAGAAGAAAAAATGGACCTTCCTAAACTAAGGACTTTCTTGTTTTTCTGATCAGGACTTTCTTTCCAGAACAGAACAGAAAAGAATAGTTCTGTATCATTTCAGATCCGTGTGTCGTGTTTATGCTCCTGCTGCGGTCTCTCTCTGAGGTCAGGTCTGGTTCTGTGCGGTCTCTCTCTGAGGTCAGGTCTGGTTCTGTGCGGTCTCTCTCTGAGGTCAGGTCTGGTTCTGTGCGGTCTCTCTCTGAGGTCAGGTCTGGTTCTGTGCGGTCTCTCTCTGAGGTCAGGTCTGGTTCTGTGCGGTCTCTCTCTGAGGTCAGGGCTGGTTCTGTGCGGTCTCTCTCTGAGGTCAGGTCTGGTTCTGTGCGGTCTCTCTCTGAGGTCAGGTCTGGTTCTGTGCGGTCTCTCTCTGAGGTCAGGTCTGGTTCTGTGCGGTCTCTCTCTGAGGTCAGGTCTGGTTCTGTGCGGTCTCTCCGAGGTCAGGTCTGGTTCTGTGCGGTCTCTCTCTGAGGTCAGGGCTGGTTCTGTGCGGTCTCTCTCTGAGGTCAGGTCTGGTTCTGTGCGGTCTCTCTCCGAGGTCAGGTCTGGTTCTGTGCGGTCTCTCTCTGAGGTCAGGTCTGGTTCTGTGCGGTCTCTCTCTGAGGCCAGGTCTGGTTCTGTGCGGTCTCTCTCCGAGGTCAGGGCTGGTTCTGTGCGGTCTCTCTCTGAGGTCAGGTCTGGTTCTGTGCGGTCTCTCTCTGAGGTCAGGTCTGGTTCTGTGCGGTCTCTCTCTGAGGTCAGGTCTGGTTCTGTGCGGTCTCTCTCTGAGGTCAGGTCTGGTTCTGTGCGGTCTCTCTCTGAGGTCAGGTCTGGTTCTGTGCGGTCTCTCTCCGAGGTCAGGTCTGGTTCTGTGCGGTCTCTCTCTGAGGTCAGGTCTGGTTCTGTGCGGTCTCTCTCTGAGGCCAGGTCTGGTTCTGTGCGGTCTCTCTCTGAGGTCAGGTCTGGTTCTGTGCGGTCTCTCTCTGAGGTCAGGTCTGGTTCTGTGCGGTCTCTCTCTGAGGTCAGGTCTGGTTCTGTGCGGTCTCTCTCTGAGGTCAGGTCTGGTTCTGTGCGGTCTCTCTCTGAGGTCAGGTCTGGTTCTGTGCGGTCTCTCTCTGAGGTCAGGTCTGGTTCTGTGCGGTCTCTCCGAGGTCAGGTCTGGTTCTGTGCGGTCTCTCTCCGAGGTCAGGTCTGGTTCTGTGCGGTCTCTCTCTGAGGTCAGGTCTGGTTCTGTGCGGTCTCTCTCTGAGGTCAGGTCTGGTTCTGTGCGGTCTCTCTCTGAGGTCAGGTCTGGTTCTGTGCGGTCTCCCTCCACTATAACAACTGATAGAAAAATAAGGTAAAAAAGGCTTGGATTTGGAAAAAATGTGTCTCAGTTTGAGCAGATTCTGACTGTGTTAAAACAGGATTGCAAAATGATCTTGTTTTAAAGAGATTTCTTGAAATAAAACTGCACTGGTGATTTTCATGTCAATAATCTGTCATCATCAAAGGGCCCTAATCTGTCATCATTAAAGCGCCCTAATCTGTCATCATTAAAGGGCCCTAATCTGTCATCATTAAAGGGCCCTAATCTGTCATCATTAAAGGGCCCTAATCTGTCATCATTAAAGGCCCTAATCTGTCATCATTAAAGGGCCCTAATCTGTCATCATTAAAGGACCCTAATCTGTCATCATTAAAGGGCCCTTATCTGTCATCATTAAAGGGCCCTAATCTGTCATCATTAAAGGCCCTAATCTGTCATCATTAAAGGGCCCTTATCTGTCATCATTAAAGGCCCTAATCTGTCATCATTAAAGGCCCTAATCTGTCATCATTAAAGGGCCCTAATCTGTCATCATTAAAGGGCCCTAATCTGTCATCATTAAAGGACCCTAATCTGTCATCATTAAAGGGCCCTAATCTGTCATCATTAAAGGCCCTAATCTGTCATCATTAAAGGGCCCTAATCTGTCATCATTAAAGGGCCCTAATCTGTCATCATTAAAGGACCCTAATCTGTCATCATTAAAGCGCCCTAATCTGTCATCATTAAAGGGCCCTAATCTGTCATCATTAAAGGGCCCTAATCTGTCATCATTAAAGGGCCCTAATCTGTCATCATTAAAGGCCCTAATCTGTCATCATTAAAGGGCCCTAATCTGTCATCAGTAAAGGACCCTAATCTGTCATCATTAAAGGGCCCTAATCTGTCATCATTAAAGGCCCTAATCTGTCATCATTAAAGGGCCCTTATCTGTCATCATTAAAGGCCCTAATCTGTCATCATTAAAGGGCCCTAATCTGTCATCATTAAAGGACCCTAATCTGTCATCATTAAAGGGCCCTTATCTGTCATCATTAAAGGCCCTAATCTGTCATCATTAAAGGGCCCTAATCTGTCATCATTAAAGGCCCTAATCTGTCATCATTAAAGGGCCCTAATCTGTCATCATTAAAGGGCCCTAATCTGTCATCATTAAAGGACCCTAATCTGTCATCATTAAAGGGCCCTAATCTGTCATCATTAAAGGGCCTAATCTGTCATCATTAAAGGGCCCTAATCTGTCATCATTAAAGGGCCCTAATCTGTCATCATTAAAGGGCCCTAATCTGTCATCATTAAAGGGCCCTAATCTGTCATCATTAAAGGACCCTAATCTGTCATCATTAAAGGGCCCTAATCTGTCATCATTAAAGGGCCCTAATCTGTCATCATTAAAGGGCCCTAATCTGTCATCATTAAAGGGCCTCTAAATCCAGGACCAGAACCACTCCATGACCAGAACCAGTCCATGACCAGAACCAGTCCAGGATCAGAACCAGTCCATGACCAGAACCTGTCCAGGATCAGAACCAGTCCAGGATCAGAACCAGTCCAGGATCAGAACCAGTCCATGACCAGAACTTGTCCAGGATCAGAACCAGTCCATAACCAGAACCTGTCCAGGATCAGAACCAGTCCATGACCATAACCTGTCCAGGATCAGAACCAGTCCATGACCAGAACCAGTCCAGGATTAGAACCAGTCCATGACCAGTCATCCACCTTGAAAAAGGGCTTTAAATAAGCAACCAAAAAGGACTGATTTTGAAATATAGTTAAAGGTAGAACTCGTCACATTTTGATAAATGTAATTTAATAAAACATAAAAAACAATGACATAAAAATAAACTACACATAAACACAGAAGTCATAAAGTTCTGATCAAACATGTAAATGAGGCTTATCACAGGTCACCTAAGACCATGTAGCATGTAGGCTTTTCAGATGTCAATGCAGGAGGGTCTGAGGACAGTGATGATCCAGGACTCTCCACATTCAACATTTATGGACTTTATGGACATTTACAGACAATGGTCTCTGCCCCGTATGGACTGATGTCTTCATCTGTTTGTTTTTGTTTTTCCTTGTTTGTTATTCTCAGATCTGTGTTGGCCAATATGACAATTTTGCAAAGTCCTCTGAGATAACTACTGTTGTGATTTAGGGCTATATATGAATCAGCTGTTGTTGTTATTGTTGTGATTTAAGGCCCCACAAACAGGGTCCCGGCTCCAAAAGGTCCATGAGCACTCCCTGCCTGTGGGGGTGTACCCGGAAAAGGAATTACCCAATGCTTTTGTATGGCGTCTTCTTTCAACTCAAAAACGTCTTTACAGGATGGTCCAAAAGTGGCTCTTGGTTCCAGGTGCTATCAATGCTTAGGGGAGAATATCTTTTTGGACCAGTCTAGTTTAGCCGCTGTGGACTTTGGAATGCACTTGTTAAATGAATGGGGCTCGAGCATTTTCCAGCCCCCGCGGCCATTTTGAAAAAGCCCATAGAAGCCAAAAGTGGTGGCACGTTAGTTTGAACGACAGAGAAAGCTGTGTGTTAATATTAGCAGTATATGAGCCGTACACTCATCCATTGAACTAAACTGAATCCGTGGCCTCTGCAGCAGCTCACACTTCAAATCCCGCGTGACCAAAAGGGGGAAGTGAACCCCAGACCTTCCGTGTGTCGCTGTCGTTCTCGCGGTCAAAGATGCAGCGACAGACGAACGACTCCCAGAGGTGTAAACAGAGCTAGCGTGACGGCAGCCTGTCTCCTCCGCACACACACACACACACACACACACACACACACACACACACACACACACACACACACACACACACACACACACACACACACACACACACACACACACACATAGCCTGCCCTGAGCCTCCATACCGATAAGGTCAATCTGTGTTTTCAGACTTAAATCCGGGACTGTGGCTGCAATGGTCCAGCCTTTTTGTGTAATATGTTGTGTGTGGTGCTGGGGTGAGAGGCCAAGGGACAGTACCAGCCCCTGCAGAGCACTGATAAGAGCTTGTTTACCTTCCTGTGGATGGTCAGGCCTCAATCTGTGGCTGCGGAAATGGTCGGACAATAGGTGTGTGTGTATAAATGTGTGTGTGTGTGTGGGGAGAGTTTAGTGAGACTTGAGACAGCCTTGAAGTTCTCCTTTCTCTTCTGTCTCTCTCTGATGGTGGCTGACCCCTCCTCCCCACCGGCTGCCATGACTGTGTAGTGCCTCCTCTGAACTCACACTGTTTACTCCCAGACCTCGGGGGAATAGAGCCGACGGTGGTTCTTGATGCGCTGCCTGGATTTTGAGCACCTGGAGCATACCTACCCAGACACAGAACATGCAAACCCGACACAGAAAGGCCTGGAGGTGGAATGGAATCCAGGGGCCATAGAAAGAGACAGAGACAATAGAGAGAGAGACCAGAGAGAGACCATAGTGAGAGACCAGAGAGACAAACCAGAGATATAGAAAAGAGAGAGAAAAGAAAGAGAGAGGCCAGAGACAGACCAGAGAGACAGACCAGAGATAGAGACCAGAGAGAGAAAGACCAGAGAGAGACCAGAGAGAGAGACCAGAGAGAGAGACCAGAGAGAGAGAGACCAGAGAGAGAGACCAGAGAGAGACCAGAGAGAGACAGACCATAGATAGAGAATAGAGAGAGACCAGAGAGAGACACCAGAGAGAAAGAGAGAGACCAGAGAGAGACCAGAGAGACAGAGACTAGAGAGAGACAGACCATAGATAGAGAATAGAGAGAGACCAGAGAGAGACACCAGAGAGAATGAGAGAGACCAGAGAGAGACCAGAGAGAGACCAGAGAGAGACTAGAGAGAGACCAGAGAGACAGAGACTAGAGAGAGACAGACCATAGATAAAGAACAGAGAGAGACAAAAATGAGAGAAGCCAGAGACAGACCAAAGAGAGAGGCCAGAGAGAGACCTTTTTAAGTTCACAAACATTTTTTTTCATTAACATTTTGTCTATAGCTAGTAAACACTTGGACTTTTCCTACTGTAGTCCTGGTCTTTTTCCAACGTCCCAGAAGTGAAACCGTGGAGAGACTGTGGCGAGACCGTGGAGAGACTTTGGAGACGGATGGAGACCGCAGCATAAACACGTCGTCTCCTCATGGAACAGGAAATGGAGGGGACTGATATCAGGAGATAAAGAGGACAGGGAATGGAATGGTTCTTTTATACCTCATTTACTCGCAAACCGCTTAGTGAGGCGGCTGGCATTTCCGGGGGTCGAGAGGCCAGAAACCAATGCTCTTCATACGCTATTGACTCATAAAAAGTGACTGAGGAGTTCCACACACAAACACAGGCGTTTAAGTGATTTATACCCGGAGCTCGGAGAGACAGTCGCGGCCCGCTGCCTCCGCCACGGCCCCGACATGAGCCAACGCCAAATGAATGGATGTGTGGCTGGATACTTTGCAACAGGGGAAAATGAGAAGAGAGAGACCAAAGAGAGAGAGGCCAGAGAGAGAGACCAGAGAGAGAGGCTAGGGAGAGAGAGAGGGAGAGACAAGAGAGGCCAAAGAGAGAGAGACCAGAGAGAGAGAGAGAGAGACAAGAGAGGCCAGAGAGAGAGAGACCAGAGAGAGAGGCTAGGGAGAGAGAGACCAGAGAGAGCGAGAGAGAGAGAGAGACAAGAGAGGCCAGGAAGAGAGACCAGGAAGAGAGACCAGGAAGAGAGAGGCCAGAGAGAGAGAGAGCAAAGAGAGAGAGGCCAGAGAGAGAGGCCAGAGAGAGAGAGACTAGAGAGAGAGAGAGCAAAGAGAGAGAGGCCAGAGAGAGAGGCCAGAGAGAAAGAGACCAGAGAGAGAGAGGCCAGAGAGAGAGACCAGAGAGAGAGAGGCCAGAGACAGAGAGGCTAGAGAGAAAGGCCAGAGAGAGAGGCCAGAGAGAGAGACCCGAGAGAGACCAGAGAGAGGCCAGAGAGAGACCAGGAAGAGAGAGGCCAGAGAGAGCGAGACCAGAGAGAGAGAGGCCAGAGACAGAGAGGCCAGAGAGAAAGGCCAGAGAGAGAGGCCAGAGAGAGGCCAGAGAGAGAGGGGCCAGAGAGAAAGGCCAGAGAGAGAGAGACCACAGAGAGATCAGAGAGAGAGGGGCCAGAGAGAGAGGCCAGAGAGAGAGAGAGAGACAAGAGAGGCCAGAGAGAGACTGTAGAGAGGGACCAGAGAGAGACCAAAGAGAGAGAGACCAGAGAGCAAAAGACCAGAGAGAGAGGCCAGAGAGAGACCAGAGAGAAAGACCAGAGAGAGACCAGAGAGAGACCAGAGAGAAAGACCAGAAAGAAAGACCAGAAAGAAAGACCAGAGAGAGACCAGAGAGAGACCAGAGAGAGACCAGAGAGAGACCAGAGAGAGACCATAGCTGGAATAACAGGAAGTCGGCCTTGACCTGGAGGTTGTGAGCGAGTAAGAGCGATGACAAGGGAGCAAAAGATGACGTCTAATCTTAATCATGGACGTTTGGGTTCGTTCTAATTCAATACAAATGTTGGGAGCAGCAGTGGACCTGGGAAACAAAGGAAAGGTCAGAGGAAAATACAAATATGTTATTATTGTGGATCCGACGTGTTTGGATCCATCTGAGGTCTTCATCGAGGTGAGGGATGTCAAATGTAATGTACAATAATATAGCAACAGTAGTTATCTATGTGGACTTTACAAAACCGTTGATTCGCCAACAACAGATCAGGACTCAGACTGTAGAACGAGGACTGAAGCTGTAGATCCAGGACTGAGGCTGTAGATCCAGGACTGAGGCTGTAGATCCAGGACTGAGGCTGTAGATCCAGGACTGAGGCTGTAGATCCAGGACTGAGACTGTAGATCCAGGACTGAGGCTGTAGATCCAAGACTGAGGCTGTAGATCCAGGACTGAGGCTGTAGATCCAGGACTGAGGCTGTAGATCCAGGACTGAGGCTGTAGATCCAGGACTGAGGCTGTAGATCCAGGACTGAGGCTGTAGATCCAGGACTGAGGCTGTAGATCCAGGACCTAAGAGACCAATGTCCATAAATGTGGTTGAATATTGTGTCCTGGATCCTCAGCACAGTCTGTATGTTAGACCGTCCTGCATCAGAGAGAAACTGCTCTAAAACCCAGTGGGACATGGTGAGAGAACACAGGGAGGCCCACAATCACATGACTCTTCACACAATTCAAGTAAAGACATAAATAAAAGAGTTTAGAAAAACAACAACAATGACCTGTGGTGAAACATATCTTCAGGAAAAGCAAATCCAAGACAAACCAACACAGTGGTGCCTCATAAAGAGTGAATGAAAACATGACCTGTGAAGCGTCTATGAGCGGCCAAAAAATAACTCTATTAAAAAATATATTAGTATTAGTATTATTCCAAAACGTTCTCATATCAAGTGTGTAGCCTTAAACTAAACTGTAACTGACCAAACAGTTGCTCTCACTACTGCTGATGTCCACAGGAGGCGCTACAGCACGTACGTGTTATACGTGCAGCAGACGCGCAGAACATTTGTGTGACGGACGTATGACGGACGTATGACGGACGTGTGACGGACGTGTGACGGACGTGTGACGGACGTATGACGGACGTGTGACGGACGTGTGACGGACGTGTGACGGACGTATGACGGACGCATGACGGACGCATGACGGACGTGTGACGGACGTATGACGGACGCATGACGGACGTATGACGGACGCATGACAGACGTATGACGGACGCATGACGGACGTATGACGGACGTATGACAGACGTATGACGGACGCATGACGGACGTATGATGGACGCATGACGGACGTATGACAGACGTATGACAGACGTATGACGGACGTGTGACGGACGTATGATGGACGCATGACGGACGTATGACAGACGTATGACTGAAGTATGACAGACGTATGACGGACGTGTGACAGACGCATGACGGACGCATGACGGACGTATGACGGACGTATGACGGACGTGTGACGGACGTATTACAGACGTGTGACGGACGTGTGACGGACGTATGACGGACGCATGACGGACGTGTGACGGACGTATGACGGACGTATGACGGACGTGTGACGGACGTATGATGGACGCATGACGGACGTATGACAGACGTATGACGGACGTATGACGGACGTGTGACGGACGTATGATGGACGCATGACGGACGTATGACAGACGTATGACTGAAGTATGACAGACGTATGACGGACGTGTGACAGACGCATGACGGACGCATGACGGACGTATGACGGACGTGTGACGGACGTATTACAGACGTGTGACGGACGTGTGACGGACGTATGACGGACGCATGACGGACGTGTGACGGACGTATGACGGACGTGTGACGGACGCATGACGGACGTATGACGGACGTATGACGGACGTGTGACGGACGTATGACAGACGTGTGACGGACGTGTGACGGACGTATGACAGACGTGTGACGGACGTGTGACGGACGTATGACGGACGCATGACGGACGTGTGACGGACGTATGACGGACGTGTGACGGACGTATGACGGACGTATGACGGACGTGTGACGGACGCATGACGGACGTATGACGGACGTATGACGGACGTATGACGGACGTGTGACGGACGCATGACGGACATATGACGGACGCATGACGGACGTATGACGGACGCATGACGGACGTATGACGGACGTATGACAGACGTGTGACGGACGTATGACAGACGTGTGACGGACGCATGACGGACGTGTGACGGACGCATGACGGACGTATGACGGACGTGTGACGGACGTGTGACGGACGTATGACGGACGCATGACGGACGTATGACGGACGCATGACGGACGTGTGACGGACGCATGACGGACGTATGACGGACGTATGACGGACGTATGACGGACGTATGACGGACGTGTGACGGACGCATGACGGACGTGTGACGGACGCATGACGGACGTATGACGGACGTATGACAGACGTATGACAGACGTATGACGGACGTATGACGGACGTATGACGGACGTATGACGGACGCGTGACGGACGTGTGACGGACGTATGACGGACGTATGACGGACGTATGACGGACGTATGACGGACGTATGACGGACGTATGACGGACGTGTGACGGACGCATGACGGACGTATGACGGACGTATGACGGACGTATGACGGACGTGTGACGGACGCTTGACGGACGCATGACGGACGCGTGACGGACGCATGACGGACGCATGACGGACGTATGACAGACGTGTGACGAACGTATGACGGACGTATGACGGACTTATGACGGACGTGTGACGGACGTATGACGGACGTGTGACGGACGTGTGACGGACTTATGACGGACGTGTGACGGACGTATGACGGACGCGTGACGGACGCGTGACGGACGCGTGACGGACGCGTGACGGACGCGTGACGGACGCGTGACGGACGCATGACGGACGCATGACGGACGCATGACGGACGTATGACGGACGTGTGACGGACGTGTGACGGACGTGTGACGGACGTGTGACGGACGTATGACGGACGCATGACGGACGCATGACGGACGTATGACGGACGTGTGACGGACGTATGACGGACGCATGACGGACGTATGACAGACGTATGACGGACGTGTGACGGACGTGTGACGGACGTATGATGACGGACGTATGACAGACGTAGGACGGACGTGTGACGGACGTATGACGGACGTATGATGACGGACGCATGACGGACGTATGACAGACGTATGACTGAAGTATGACAGACGTATGACGGACGTGTGACGGACGTATGACGGACGTATGACGGACGTATGACGGACGTATGACGGACGTATGACGCACGTATGACGGACGCATGACGGACGTGTGACGGACGCATGACGGACGTGTGACGGACGCATGACGGACGCGTGACGGACGTATGACGGACGTGTGACGGACGTATGACGGACGTATGACGCACGTATGACGGACGTATGACGGACGTATGACGGACGTATGACGCGAGGTTGCGCCTAATTTAGGATGAATTTCTAATTTTGTGCGCGCAGCAACGCATCTCCCTTTGAAAACACAAGTGAAACAAGATTTTTCTAGAGGCCCTTGGCTCTAGATCGCATCTACACACACACACACACACACACACACACACAGCACTTGTATCTAAACATCAGCAGGAGGAGCAGCAGGTTTTACAGTGATTCTAGACATCGTTTTTTTTTCTTTCATAAAGTCTTGCGTCTGGCCAAACCAGCACAGAGACCATGAAGACAAACACATGTGATTTGTGTTGCTCTGCATCAGTCTGTACTGTCCTCTACACTGCTCCATAGACTACACAGGGACAGCCTCAGAACCAGTGTATGTACAGTCAACGCTTATGCGCTGTTAACGCCTCCTGTGGAAATGAGCTGTCAGAACAAACCTGTACACACTGAGTAACGTGTGTGTGTGTCTATATGTGTGTGTGTGTGTGTGTGTGTGTGAGTGAGTGTATTGTCATATGACTCAGTCATTTGTCATTACATTTCCTTTAAGAGAATAATGTTTATTGTGCCTTATCTCCGATCTAAGGTTTAAACTAAACACATGGCCTTTTCCCTCGTTCTGTAGCTTAAAGGTCTAAAGGAGGAGTTTCCACAAATTTTAGGAAAAATCCGCCTTTCTGGTCTTATTTGACGAGCGCTTATCACCAGAATTATTGAAAATTGGAAGGACAAATAGTCTTGATGATCCTCCTATATACTTTAAAGCCCTGGGTCTACAGCCTCAGTCCTGGGTCTACAGCCTCAGTCCTGGATCTACAGCCTCAGTCCTGGATCTACAGCCTCAGTCCTGGATCTACAGCCTCAGTCCTGGGTCTACAGCCTCAGTCCTGGGTCTACAGCCTCAGTCCTGGATCTACAGCCTCAGTCCTGGGTCTACAGCCTCAGTCCTGGATCTACAGCCTCAGTCCTGGATCTACAGCCTCAGTCCTGGATCTACAGCCTCAGTCCTGGATCTACAGCCTCAGTCCTGGATCTACAGCCTCAGTCCTGGGTCTACAGCCTCAGTCCTGGATCTACAGCCTCAGTCCTGGATCTACAGCCTCAGTCCTGGATCTACAGCCTCAGTCCTGGGTCTACAGCCTCAGTCCTGGATCTACAGCCTCAGTCCTGGGTCCACAGCCTCAGTCCTGGGTCTACAGCCTCAGTCCTGGGTCTACAGCCTCAGTCCTGGGTCTACAGCCTCAGTCCTGGATCTACAGCCCGTTCGTCCGTGTGGAGCGGATCTCTCTCTGTGAGGGTCTCCCCGAGGTTTCTCACTTTTCTCCCACTGGGTTTCAGAGTTTTTCCTCTGATGCAGGAGTCTGTGTTCTACATTCTTTGTGTTAGAACTGTTTGAGTCTTTAGTCTGTATTTCCAGGTGGATCATTGGATCATATTGGTCCTCGCAACTGTCAATCATTCTGGTGATCCGTGCTCGTCCAATAAGACCAGAGAGCGGAGAGGGCGGTTCTTTCCTAAAGTTTTAAGTCCTCCGAGATAACTACTGTTGTGATTTATGGCGACACAAGAATACATTGAATTGAACCTAAATTCAACAATGAGGAGCAGATATGCCTCTCGTTGCCATGGTAACGCCCTGACACCATGTGCACTCACTTCTATGTCAGAACATGAAAGACCATGGGATGAGTCTGGACCCAGCGATGTGGTCACAGCGGCTTATGTAACGTGTTTTTGTCCAGTTTTATTCATTTAGGCTTCAGCTTTATCTCGGTCTCCTCCGTTCACCGGGCAGCGATGGCATCACTCTTTGATTAGCACTGCTTCTAAATAAGACACATCCTGTTGATATACTTTTCCCTTTACGTTTTATGTTGTGGAATTCTCCTTCAGTTTCCATGGGAAAGAGACAAGACCAGAGAGAGACCAGGGAGAGACCAGAGGGACCAGAGAGAGACCAGGGGGACCAGAGAGAGACCAGAGAGAGACCAGAGAGAGACCAGAGAGAGAGACCAGAGAGAGACCAGAGAGAGACCAGAGAGAGACCAGAGAGAGACCAGAGAGAGAGACCAGAGAGAGACCAGAGAGAGACCAGAGGGACCAGAGAGAGACCAGAGAGCAGAGCAGAGACTAGAGAAAGACCAGAGAGAGAGAGAGAGAGCAGAGAGAGACACCAGATAAAGACCAGAAAGAGAAACTAGAGAGAGACCAGAGAGAGGGACCAGAGAAAGACCAGAGAGAGACTAGACAGAGAGAAGCCAGAGAGAGAGACCAGAGAGAGACCCACAAGGGAGAGACCAGAGAGACTAGAGAGAAAGAGATCAGAGAGAGAGACCAAAGAGAGACTAGAGCGAGACCAGAGATAGACACAAGTGAGAGACAAGAGAGGGACCAGTGAGAGAGAGAAACCAAAGAGAGAGACACCAAAAAGAGAAACCAGAGAAAGTCAAGAGAGAGAGTAGAGAGAGACCAGAGAGAGACCCATGAGGGTGAGACCGTAGTTTATATGGGAAGACAAAAATTGGAAGAGTGATCACAGAAAACAAACAAATGGAAAAGCAGGGTTTGATTCCACCTCTTTTCTGTGTGGAGTTTGCATGTTCTCCCCGTGTCCGAATAGGTTTCCTCCAGGTGCTCCAGTTTTCTACCACTAAAGAAATGTGCAAAAGTTGAATAGTGGTTCACACACATTTGTAAAGTGCTTTGTGTGACCTTGGTCTGTGGAATGTGTTGTATAAATAAAGAATAGCATCTTTTGACTTTTGACAGTTACCATAGTTACCAGGAACGACTTGTTCATCTTATTCATCCGTCCTCCTCCACCATTTTTAACTCTGGGCTCTTTGGAATGTTGTAATGGGTCAAGGATAGAACTGAACACAAACCAGAGAGAGAGAGAGATACCTGAGAGAGACTAGAGAGAGGGACCAGAGAGAGATAAGAGAGAGACCAGAGTGAGGCCAGAGAGAGAGACCACAGAGAGACACCAGAGAGAGATACCAGAGAGAGAGACTAGGAGAGAGACTAGAGAGAGACCAGAGAGAGACACCAGAGAGAGACTAGAGAGAGACCAGAGAAAGGAAGTAGAGAGAAAAAACAGAGTGAAGCCAGAGAGAGAGACCAGTGTGAGACCAGAGAGAGACCAGAGAGAGAGACCAGAGAGAGACACCAGAGAGAGATACCAGAGAGAGAGACCAGAGAGAGAGACCAGAGAGAGACTAGAGAGAGACCAGAGAGAGACCAGAGAGAGATACCGGAGAAAGAGACTAGGAGAGAGACTAGAGAGAGACACCAGCGAGAGAGACCTGAGAGTGACCAGCGAGAGAGAGATCAGAGCGAGAACTGAGAGAAACCAGAAAGCGACAAGAGAGAGAAAGACCAAAGAAAATAATGCAATCATTCTTAAAATAAGACTAAACGGCTTTTGTCGCGTTTGCAAATCTTGTTTTAAGGCTCCGTCAGAATGTGTCAGATTGAGACAAAAACCACTTAATTACCTAAACATTATCACCTCATATTTTATTAATTTTATTCAGTGTAGAATGAGTCGAACAAGGAACATAACATTGGTTTATTGGTAATGGATATTGTGTCGGTCTCCTGCTGCGAGGCATTCAGACTCCAAGGCCTCGGCTCATTGTGCACGCGGCACTTTGATGTCGTCTCACCGTAACCGTGGCAACCGCACTGGAGAGATAGCGTTAGCTTCGCCGATGTTTGCTTTCCACCGTCAAGAAATAATTAGGAAAACATTATGTGTGTGTGTGTAGTGTTGCCACAAAACTAAACTTCAAACTCCGTGTTGACGCGACGAACCACGGAAATCCACAGTGATTCATTATGAATACTCTTTTTGGATTATAAACTCTGTCTAACTCAAAATGATTCAATTATTTCAATGCTAGTTTTTAGTTATGATTAGAATTATACTAAATACTCCTATTCAATTCAGTTATTTATCTGTGAACAGCCATAAATCACAATGCTAACGTTAGAAATTATGTACTTGCTTCTTTAAAAAGCTAACGATAGAGACTTTGTACTAGCTTCTCCATCCATCCATTTTCTTCCCCTTAATCCATTTTTGGGTCGGGGGGGTGGCAGTCAGAGCTGCACCCAGTACACAGAGCACCAGCTTCTTTATTATGCTAAAGCTAGAGATTTTAGACTAGCTTCTTTATTATGCTAAAGATAACGATTTCATACTAGCTTCTTTATTATGCTAAAGCTAACGATTTCATACTAGCTTCTTTATTATGCTAAAGCTAACGATTTTATACTAGCTTCTTTATTATGCTAAAGCTAGAGATTTTAGACTAGCTTCTTTATTATGCTAAAGCTAACGATTTTATACCAGCTTCTTTTATTTTTTTATTTTATTTTATTAGTTTATTTAAACAGGGACAATGCACATTAATTAACATCACTGTAAATGTGCCAGTTTTAGCTCCAAAGCTAATTTTCAACTGTAGTCCCTGGGCAAGATGTAGATTGCCAACAATATATAACAATAACAACAACAATCATTATTAACCTAAAAATGATAAAACAATTCATTAGTATGAGCTCCCACACAACCTATTCTTCTGCTAAATCGTTGCTAAAGCTAACGATTTTATACTAGCTTCTTTATTATGCTAAAGCTAACGATTTTATACTAGCTTCTTTATTATGCTAAAGCTAGAGATTTTAGACTAGCTTCTTTATTATGCTAAAGCTAACGATTTTATACCAGCTTCTTTTATTTTTTTATTTTATTTTATTAGTTTATTTAAACAGGGACAATGCACATTAATTAACATCACTGTAAATGTGCCAGTTTTAGCTCCAAAGCTAATTTTCAACTGTAGTCCCTGGGCAAGATGTAGATTGCCAACAATATATAACAATA